CCCCGCGGGCTGGAGGGAGCTTTCGGGCCCCCACGCCCTCCCCCAGGGCTCCTCCGCCGCAGCTTGAGCTCTCGGAGTTCCGGGCCGGAGCCACTGGACCGGGAGCCCGAGGCTGACAGCGGCCGCAGGAGGTTCTGTCCAGGCCGGGCAGCACAGGTAGGGGTCGGCGGGTCTCACGGGGATGTGTCCGTAGTGACTAGAGCTTATAACCCTCTTCTTTTCCTTTCCTCTCTTGTCCCCATCCCTGGGGCTCTGTCACTGTCTTAGTCTGCCCATCCTATGTAAGAATCCTTTCTTTTTTGGAATTTAGCATCTAGCCTGCCCCCCTGGGGCCTCCCCCCTTCCCCACTGTGCGATCCTAACCTGGGAGTACTACAGAAGCCTTGGCCCTTTGGGGGCTCAGGGTGAGGCGGCGCCATGAAGAAGCCAGTGCCCCCACTGGCCTCCACAGACACCGTGGTTCCCTCCTCTGCGGAGCTTCTCCGGGACCAGGCCGTGCTTACCTCTCTCTCCCCACTGCAGAGAGCACAGCTTTCCGCTCTGCCAGGGCACCACGGACACATTCTTGGGGAAAGGCGCCCCCGGAGTTGTGCAATGCACAGCCCTGACAAAGCCTAGTGCAGTGTGCTCAGGGAGTGGCTGGGATCAATCAGATGGAATTGCATTTGGGTTTGAATTGATCTAATGATAAGGCACCTGGTTGGGGGGGAGGAATCATCGGCAGTGGGAGCTGAGAGCTAGCGCAGTGGTGGGGGCAGGGCAGAGGCAGCCAGGGAAGGAAGGGTGGCTGAGGGCTGGGGTGGCAGGAGAGGGGCCGAGGTCTCTGGAACCAGATCCAGACCCCAACCCAGCCATCTTTTTGCCCTGCTCAGGGTTCCTACTGGAGGAAGCCAAGCGGAGCTGATTTCTCCTCCTTAGACCGATCCATCTTCTGTGTTCTCTCCCCAGAGACATAGGATTAGGAGAAAAAGGAAGGGTGGTATAGCACAGCTGTTAGAGTGAACCAAGCCTGAATTCAAAATCCAAATAAACCATAACTGTGGGAAATCACCAATGAGCTCTTCTCCTCGCCTAACAAACTGGGAATCATGAAGCCAACCCCTACAGTTAATGTCACAATTTCGATCGCATGTGGACTGGGACCTACCCAATACTTCTGGCATGTGCTGGCAAGCTTAGTCCTTACCCCTCATTGTTCTGGAAGAGGAAGTTCAGAGCAGGAAGTTGGTTTCGAGTGGTTTTTCAGGAAGAACTTGTGAGAAGGCAGGGCGAGGCCAGCCAGAGCCACAACCGAGCCTGCTCGGGGTTCTTCCTGGGGCTGGGGTGCTGGGGTGCCGGAGGAGAGGGGGACACCCAGGCAGCAGTGTGACAGGCGGTTTCCTTCCACGTGGAAAACATCGATTCCACTGTGGATTCGGGAGGGCCCTAGCCTACTTTGTATCATCAGCATTTCATGCCTCGTGTTCAAGATCTTGCCATTAGTGCCTCATTCCCTTGGCCAAAGGCTTCCCACCCTACCTGCGCTGGCTACAAGGTCAGTTCTTTTGGGAATGGAACAATCCCCAAGGCCGCTCACTCGTGGCTCTCTGAGGGGATGAGCACTTGTAGGCACTGGGAGTTGAAAGGAAAGGGCACCCGCCATGGAGGATCCTGGCCCTGGCAGCACGGTCAGGGCAGGGACCCCAGGGGAGAGGAAGCTGCAAAGATAGACACGCTTCCGGCTCAGTAAGAGCAGCCGGGACCCTCTCCTCTCCATCCTTTCGACTAGGCGCCAATCTCACCAAACCCGTTGTGCCACTTCCTCATCCTCCTCCAACCCCCACCCCAGCCCTCAGAGGGATTTTCTAGAATGCCAGTCTCCCCGCCCCCTCCTTCTCATGCCTCCTGCCCCCACATTCTCCCTCCAGACCCCAGGCTGCAGCCCCCGCCCCTTCCACCAGTCATTCCCTGAACACACCGCACCTGCTTACACTCCTGCAGAGCCCCTGTCTGCTCCCGCCACCGCCCTGCAGAGCCCCTGTCTGCTCCCGCCGCCGCCCTGCAGAGCCCCTGTCTGCTCCCGCCGCCGCCCTGCAGAGCCCCTGTCTGCTCCCGCCGCCGCCCTGCAGAGCCCCTGTCTGCTCCCGCCACCGCCCACCCCCTCTCTCACCCCAACACAGTCCGTCAGAAACGTCCTCCACTCTCTAAGTGCCGACCCGACTCCAGTCGCCAGGGACAGGAACGGGAATGAGGTTCCTCGGTCCCTGTAGGGGCTCACATCTAGTAATGCCACAACAGTGCGATCAGTGGGGGGCGGAGTGGGGGTGGTGGGGAACTTCCCCAGGCCAGAGGAGAGGAGTCTTCTGGGAAGGGTCGGTGAAGGAGGACACAGCACAGAGGAGAACTGGAGGTGAGGGGCTGTGTGGCCCTTCCAGGCACGCAGCAGCACAGAAGTGCAAGGATTCTGACCCGAACTCTGAGGACACGAGGGAAGGAGGAGCCTCACATGGGCGGGCTGCCTGGGGGACAACCTGGACACTGTGACAGCTGTGGACAGCCTGCCAGTGAGGAGCAGGAGGGTGGAGAGGCCACAGGCCCTGGGCCCTGGGCACGGCTGGATGTGAGCAGCCAGCAGGAGGGTGGGGGAGGGGCGGGGCAAACACAGCCTCAGGAGGGTAGGGAGGGGGCAGGTGGGCTGTCCAAAGGGACGGATATTTTGAGTGGTGACCTCCCAAGACAAGGCCATAAGTCTGGATGAAGTCGCTGGCCCCGGGATTCCAAAAACTCTGGTTTCCAGGATCTTCAATGATGGCACAGCCTAAAGCCTAAGGGAGATATGGGCCTGAACACCAGAAGTCAGGCTTGGCTTCTAGTTACTGCAAACTACACACGCAATAAAGAGGATACAGGGAGGTGGACCCAAAAAGCAGCCTTCTTAAGTATGGTTCTTCTGTCCACCCTAGCCTGGAACCCGCCCAGTTCCATGTGTGTCCCCATGACCAGTGAGCCATAGCCATCCCCGCAGTGGCTGTAATTCCGAGAACAGTCTCCCTGTAGATATTACTCAGAAATTATAATGTCCCGCACCATATGTTATTCACCTGTATCTTCACTGAAAGTTAACCACTCTCCTTGCAGGTCCCCCACCTTCCAGGGCGGGCTGCAGGACCTGCGTGTCCGGGGGTCGGGGGAAGGGGCTATTGTCAGCCGGTCCCCTGTCTCTCCATCTCCCCGCCTGCCACACCTCTGCTGCACTTGGTGTGAAGGCCTTTCCCTGTAAGCCCGCCCAGCCTCCCGGACTGGACTCTGTTGCTCCTTCCGTGAGCTCCTCAGCTAGAAGGAAGGGTGTGGGCGAATCCTGCGTGAGCGACTGTCTTCCAGCCAGCCTGGGAGCCACAGCACGCGCACCGGTGTCCCCCCCCGCCCCCCAGCCGGGTGCAGCGCAGGTGCGCCCCTCCTGCAAGAGTGACAACGTGACCACATCCTCCGTCTCGGGAGCTCTCCAAGAGGATTTCCTGCATGTGTGAGGCCTCATCCTTGAATGCCAACACCTGCCTACACTGTTAAACCATTTTGGATGCAACTCTTCCTGTCTGGATTTCATAATCCACGCTAAATAGAAAAGCCATAAGGGTCGCACTGCAATCTTTCCTCAGTGACTCTGGGCCATCGGTATGCACACGAATCCCCAGCTGCTCTGCAGGAACGCCCTCGGTTGAGAGCTGATGGAGCCTAACTTGTCAGTTTGTTCGCTCCGGGTTGGCCCGTCTTTTCTCCTCATTCTTTCTACGTTAGCTGGTTGTCAGGACGCGCATGCGCCGTGCGGCCATCGGTGGCCGGGCTTCCCCGCGGCCCTGCATGGCCTTGCCCGCCTCAGGCAGCCCCGCTCCCGCCGTTAAGTTGTTGTTTCTAATTTGTTGTGAGCACAAATAACGCAGGTCTGGGCAGAGCAAAACTAGACAGGCCCTGAGGGGGGATCTGGGGTTCACCGATAGGTCAAACATTGGGCTTTGTGTTACAAGCTTCACAGTATCTATTCTGAAGGTTTCAAAACTTCCCTTGCTCCCTTCCTGGCCCTGTCTGGACTCTGGGCTGCTAAAATGCCCGGCTGGCTAACCGATGGGTCTCAGATGCATCAGAGGAGGGGCTGCGGCGGGCCCAGGCGGCTGGCTTCAGGCCAGGGAAAATGTGTGGGGAGGGGCTCAGCGTTGGGCATCTGGGACAATGGGGCTGGGGGGCCAGGGCGGTCTGTCCATGGTCACTCTGCAGTGCAGTGAGATGTGCTGCTGGCTCAGGAAAGCAGGCCGCCCTGGTCCTGGGGTGGCTGGTCTTCCCTGGACCCAGCGTGCGACTGTCTGTCCTTTCCAGGACCATTCATTTATCCCAGCACCCGGCAGGTGTGAATTCTGGCCCCCCACTGTGGCTTGGAATAAACATGTCTCTTCCCGGGCCTCAGTGTCCTATGCTGTAAAAAAAAAGGAAAAGTGACACCTGGGGGTGGGGGAGTGGAGGCAGGAGCACGCAACGTGGTAGAGGCTTTGCAAGGGTCATGGCACTCTCTCCCCCTCTCCTCCCGTGTCTTCCTTCTGGGAATAAGGAAAATTGCATTGAACTCACTACTGAGAAACCTGGACTCTAGTCCCAGCTCCACCTTATTTCCCTGTGTGACCTTTCCCTCCCTGGGCCTCAGTTTCCCCTCCACATAAGCAGGAGCTTGAACAGCTCGACTTCTGAGGTCCAGAATTCCAGCATTCTCCTTTCCTCCTCTGCTTCCTCCTCCTGCTCCTCTCAGGGGTGGGAGTGTGCCCGTGTGTGTGTGTGCGTGTGTATGCACGTGTGTGTGCATGTACGTGTGTGTGTGTGTGTGTGTATGTACTGCGGGCAGGGAAAGAGAGAGTCCTGCAGAGGATGGGGTGGCAGTTAGAAGAAAGGGGGGCCAGGACTTCCCGTGCCAGTGGGGCTCAGAGCTTTCTCAGCAGCTAAGGGCACTTGGGGCTGTTTAATCATTAAAAGGAAGGAACGAAGCCAGGAGCGCCTCAAAGTCCAGCTGGTGGTGAGTGACTCTAACAGAGGAGCATGGAGCTGGCAACAGTGGGGCCTGGAGCGTCAGGAAATGGGGTCAAGACTGTGACAGCTCCACGCTCAGCACTGGGCTCCGGAGTCAGCCTGCACGCCTATGACATCGCGGTCCTTGTTGTCTACTTCGTCTTTGTCATCGGCGTGGGGGTCTGGGTGAGTAGTCCCAGAGGTTGGGGCCTGGCAGGGGAGGTGCGGCAGGCTCTCATCTCTGGCTGGTGGTGGAGTTGGAGGCAGGGTGGGCAGGAGGAAGGCAGATCAGGGAAGCACAGGGTTAAGATGCAGAAGCCTTCAGAAATCCATCTCTCCAGGCCCTTCTTTTATAGATGGGCAGACTGAGGCCCAGAGAGGGGTGTGACTTGCCTGAGGGCACACAGCGAGCTGAGGCCGGCCAGGCAGGAACCCCCATCTCCCAACTCCCTCTCTCTATGCATCTGCTGCCTTGGGCCCCACCCGTCCCTGGCAGCCCAATCCCCACCCCTGCCCTCCTTCCCGTACCAAGATTGCCAACTCTGCGCACGCTCCACTCTCGGCCTACCCCATCCTCCACAAGTAGGTGTCTTGGCAAGGAGTAGTGCTTTCTAATGGAGCTGGGGTTCGTGTGCTCATGGGAAGGAAGCTAGGCGAGTCCAAAGGTCCTTCTGCTCAACATTGTTCACCAGAGACTCAGCCCTGGGGCAAGGGGCCAGGCTCTGAGGTCAGGGAGTTCTGAGTTCAGATCCAGGCTCTGACAGAGCCACGGAGCCCTGGGAACATGCAAATGCTCTGTGAGCCTCCGTTTTCTTGTGTGGACAGTGAGAACGATAAAGACTGCCCCACAGAGGGGTCATGGCCCTGAGTAACATGACACACCAAAGCACCTGGCCCAGTGCCCTGCATTGCAGGCAACAATACCCGGCAGGTGTCATCACGGCCCCTTCGGGAGACGGGCCAGCCCCCTCAGATGCTCCTGGGCGGCAGCGATTCGAGTCCCAGCCCGTCGTGACCCCGTTACGGTGGCGGGGTCACGAACCCTCTCTGGGCTTCAGTTCCCTCAGCTGTTCAGCGGGGTGAACAGTCCCTGCCTCCCAAGGCTGGTGTGAGGAAGAAATGAGCACACAGCTGATCACCGACTCCTGGCAGGAAAGGCACCAGCTCCTCAGTGACTTTGGACAAGTTGCTCCCTGACTCAGGCCTCAATTTCCTCATGTGTGAGAATTCCTTCTGCTCATCTGGCCTGCCTGAGAGCCAGAGGTGACAGGTGAAGTTCAAGCAAAGGCTTCACAAGAACCAGCCCCTCCCCCTCATCACTCCCTAGTGACTAGGGACATTTCCTTGGGGGCAAAGAATCCCCTTTTACATTTCTCTTTTCCCTTCTTCTCCTTCAGGTATCTCTCCCATCTCTAGACCCAATCAGAGACCTGTTGGCTTCAGCATCTTTTTTTTTTCTTTTAAGATTTTATTTATTTATTTGTCAGAGAGAGACAGAGAGAGCGAGCACACAAGCAGGGGGAGCAGCAGGCAGAAGGAGAGGGAGAAGCAGGCTCCCTGCTGAGCAAGGATCTCTGATGCGGGACTCGATCCCAAGACTCTGGGATCATGACCTGAGCCCAAGGCAGACACTTAACCAACTGAGCCACCCAGGCTTCCTGAGCTTTAGCATCTTAATAAAGTCTTCAAGTTTCTGCTTCTCTGCTCACCACCCTGGCTCCCAGCCCTTGAGGCCCCAGAGGAAATTCATTCACATCCACTCTCCTCTTGTTCTTCAGAGGAGGGGTCTGTGCGGGCTCCTGCACAGGCTTCACAGCGTGGTCCCACTCCAGGCCCAGGCAGGAGAAGCCCCAGACGGAGCCCTCCCTCTGCCTGGGGCTTCAGGGCTTTCTGCCATCCGGGCCCCAGTGTGGGAGTCCTGCAGAAAGGAGGGAGGGGGAGGCCTCCGTGCAAGCCTGAGAATCAGATACAAATAATTTCCTGAAATGAAGGTTGGACAGAGGGAGGGCTAAGGGGACAATAGCCGTATCTTGCACACACGTCCAGCACAGTGCTGTTCGTGAAGGCTTTAACTTCTGTTGGCCCCTTGGCTCTTCACACCAGCCCTGGGGGACGAACGGTGAGGCCCAGAGAGAGGCTGTGTCCCTCCCAAAGGCGGGTAGAGTAAAACCAGTGAAACTACCCATCTGGTTCTCATGGTCTGGGTCCCCCCCAGCGCCTGAGCCCAGGAACAGGGAGCTGAGGCGGGGCAGAGGTGCGGGAGCTCGGGAGACCCTCACCTCTCTCCCCTTCCTCACCAGTCATCCGTTCGTGCAAGCCGAGGCACCATTGGTGGCTATTTCCTGGCGGGGAAGTCCATGAGCTGGTGGCCGGTGAGTCGATCGTCCTCCCTGTCCCCTCCCACCACTGGGTCCTCGTCTTGTCTTCTCTCGCCTTGACCAAGGTGGCAGCCCCCTGAGTGGGTTTCCTGGCGCTCTGGGGTTCCTTCTCTGTGGCCCCCAGGCACCCCACAACCCAAGAGATCTTGCTAATGCACACCTCGGGTAAGTGCCTCCTAAGTGTGTGCACTCAGCTGGACACTGCACCTATAGAAATAACCTAGAATGTTCCTGTCCCAGAGAAGCTCAGATTAGCTGGGCAGACAGACTCACAGACAACAGGAGGGAAGGAGAGGGGCTGTGAGTGTCTCTGGGAAGCCTCTGACCTCAGCCAGGGGAGGTGGGAAGGAGACATATCTGCTTAGTACCATGGAGCAGTGAGGTGAGGGGGATCACAGACATCAATCCCTAGCAACCTCAGGGAATCGATCCTGACACCTTTGCAAACCCCAGTCTCTTCTATCTGCCCACCTCACTTGTTTCTCTTGGTCCTCAAAACTGATTTCCTCTTCCTGAAATAGCACGGAGGGAGGTACGCCCTGCCTGGAAATCGAATCTTGGGATTGTCAGCCCCTGTGGTGCTGAGGCTGTGACACGCCCAATCACGCCCGGGTCACACACACGTGTGTGCATGCACTCACAAACCACCAGCCACCCCTACACCCCGTCCTGGTTCTCACCACTTTCCCCACCTGCGCTGGTGACAGACTCCCTGAAGAGAAGAGGAGGTCCAGGACCCTGACAGAGCTCTCTGGAAGGTTCCAGTATCTGGGACAGGAGGAGGTAGGGGCAGGGAGCTCTCACGTCTTCAGCATGATAGAATCCCCAGGAGTGCAGGGGGTGGAGGGCCTGGCAGTTCACAGGGACGGTGACACTGGGTTCCTCAACAGGAGACAGCAAGCCTCTTGGAGACCATTCTGCTCAGCTGATACATCCCCTCCCCACCGTCCCCCACCACAGCTCTGGAGATGAGTCAGTAGGAGGGACAAGAAGCAGGAGAGAGTACCTCTCTGGTCCGTTCCGGGAGAGTGACCAGGGGCTGGCCTGGGCGCCCGCCAGTCCTGCAGAGAGCAGATCTCCCTGCTCCATGTGAAACTCTGTGTCTCCCTGTAGGGGTGAGGAAGCAGGAGGAGGGTGCTCCCAAGATGAGCGGGCTGTGGAGACAGGCAGCCCCGGTGGGCGGGGCCATGAGCTGGGCCTCCTGCACTGGGCTTCCTGCACTGCTGAAGCCTGAGCAGGACCAGCCCTGCTTAGGGGGGGGGTCTCCGTCCCATTTGTAGCCCTGGAGCTTGCATGTCTAGGTGTCCGGGTTTCTGTGACAGAAGTCCCATAGCTTTGTGCCCCTCCCTACTAGGCCAGTCCTGAGAAGTGCCTCATTCCCCTCCCTGTACCCCAAAGAGAGTGTGTGGCTGGGAAGCCAAGAGCAGAAGGAGCAACAGCATCCCTGCTCCAGAGCGGCCTGTCTGATCCCCCTGCCAACCCTGATGGCCGATGTCTCCTTGAGTTGTGAGCTGGGAGCCCTGCACTGAGTGGGGGCAAGGCCCCTCCCTGCTCCGAGAGCAGCCTCGGGAAGGGCCCAGTGCTCTGTGCTCTGGCTAGGTGCTTCAGCCCAGCCCCGCCAGCATCCCCAGGACCACCTGAATGTGAATGTGTGTGTGTGTGTGTGTGTGTGTGTGTGTGTGGCAGCAGGCTGTGGCTTCAGCAATGAGCAACATCAGGCCAGTTGTAATCCCTGGGCCTTTATGTTCTAGGCAGTCTGTTCTCTGAATGTCTCCGTACCTTTCCTTTCTTTTCACTTTCTATCGCCCAGCACCCCCAGAACAGGCAGTGGGAACAGGTGAGTCCCCACATTTTACAAGTGGAGAATCTGAGGATTTGCAAGAGGAAGTGATTTTATTAGGTTGACACAGGGAGCAAGCCCAGAGCGGAGCTCTTCCCCTCTGGCCCCGGTCATGTCCCCAAGGCCTCGCCTCCGCCCAGGCCCCAGAGCTCCTCCCTCTGTCCCTTTCCCTGCCCAATGAAGGATCCCGTCAAATAATCAAAGATGACAGTAATGAGTGCTTATTAGGTGCCCAGCAATAATCATGCACTAGTTACTGGAGTCAGACAGCCAGGGTTCAAAGATTCTGTCACTCACTAGTTCTGGAGCTCGGGCAAGCCATTTATCTGTGCCTCGGTTCCCTCCTCAGTCAAATGGGGATAATGATGGGACATCCAGCCCAGAGCTGTGGTGAGGGCTGCCTGAGGAAACCTAGAACAGCACCCGACACTTGGCGACGCTGCTTCCATACTAACCGTGATGTTGTCCTTCTATCAGTGTCTCTATGGCCTCAGAGTAGTTGGCTGCCTCCTGGAGAAAATGACTCAACTCCAACTCGGAGGCTGGCCCAGCCTGTGTTCAGCCCCTCGGCTCCTCCCTCTTCCTGGCCTTGCCCTGGAGCCTGGAGGCACTGCGGTGGCGGGGGCCTCCCCAGTCCCTCTCGTGGGGACCTCCCCTCCTCCCCTAAGCATCCTCGTCTCTGGAGGTCCCTAGATGGACGGCCCCAGCGCAGGGCCTTCTCCTCCCTACATGACCCTGCTCTCCGTGGCTTTCCTTCTTTCCCACTTGGCCACTCACTGCGTGGCCTGAGGGCAGTGGCTTTGTTTTTCCCAACATTATTTCCTTCCTCTGTAAATTGAAAAGATTAATGCTCATCTCTCGATATGTTTATGCAGATTAAGTGTATTGGTGCATATTAAATGCCTCGCACAGTGCCTGCATACAGTAGGCACCAAGTAAACGTCAGTTCCACCCCTCCTCCTCTGTGCTCCCTTATGTCCCCTCCCTCCTCTGATCTCAGATTTCCTGAGCCTGGCTCCTGCTCTGTCCACAGCTCCTGAAGCCCATGGTCCTGGCTCCAGGCTGATTTGGATTAAAACTGACCCTGACCCTTGGCCCCACTTGTGCCCTGCAGATTGGAGCCTCTCTGATGTCCAGCAATGTGGGCAGTGGCTTGTTCATTGGCCTGGCTGGGACAGGAGCCGCTGGAGGCCTCGCTGTGGGCGGCTTCGAATGGAATGTAAGGAAGCTGGCCTGGGGGCTTCTCAGGGATAAGGGAGGTCTGAAGCCCCTCCGCCCCCCATCCCAGGCTTTAGTGCTGAGGGGAACCTTGGAGGTGCCTGGGGAGGCTGCATGGTAAATCCAGAACCCATTTTACAGATGAGGAAATCAAGGCCCGGAGGACGCAGAGGGACTTATCAGAGGTCACACAGCACTAAGATTAGGTCCCAGGTCCCTTGTTCCCAGCTCGGTGCTCCCCGACATCATGATGTGGGGGAGGGGGCTGGCCCTCCATCTGCATCTAGGACATGGATACCTACTTCTCTCCACTCTCCAAGGCAACTTGGCTGCTTCTGGCCCTGGGCTGGATCTTTGTCCCGGTGTACATCGCCGCCGGTGTGGTCACAATGCCGCAGTACCTGAAGAAGCGATTCGGGGGCCAGAGGATCCAGGTGTACATGTCTGTCCTGTCTCTTGTCCTGTACATCTTCACCAAGATTTCCGTGAGTACCCACTCCAGTGTGGCCATCTTGTCTCTCCGAAAATGCTGAGTTTATTTTTTTAAGAGTTTATTTATTAGAGAGAGAGAGAGAGAGCACGAGCAGGGCGAGGGGCAGAGGGAGAGGGAGAAGCAGGCTCCCCGCTGAGCAGGGAGCCCGATGCGGGACTCGATCCCAGGACCCTGGGATCATGACCTGAGCCGAAGGCAAATGCTTAACCAACTGAGCCACCCAGGCGCCCGAAAATGCTGAGTTTACATCATGGCTTATTGCTGGATGTAGGGATGGATAGATAGATAGATAGATAGATAGATAGATAGATAGATAGATGATAGATAGATAATAGGTAGGTAGAAGGAAGGCAGGCAGGGAGGGAGGGAGGGAGGAAGAAGGGATGAATCCACATACCTTCAATGCAAGCTCCCGCTCAGCAGTGGAGCGATCACAGATGGATGAGAAATGTCTGTTGCGTAAACGACGTCCCTCTATTCAAAGAGTTACTCATCTAGAGCGCATTCATTCATTTATCTTTCCGCTAATTGATTCTCCATTCAGCACCATGCACTGATTACCTAGAATGTTACAGTTAGAAAGGTCCTTGTTCTTCCTCCACTGACCTACACTTAGAAAACAAACCTAGGGCAAATGGTTTGCCCATGTCCACACAGAATGTAGCCATGGGACTGGAACTGAAATTTGGGTCCCGTGCCCCAGGCCAGGGGTCCTTGCACACTGTCCTGTTGTAGCCCTGGGATGGGTTCATGAAACAACCGTGCAGTGGGGTCAGCAAGCAGGCACTGAAAGGGGCCGAGTCCGTGAGCTTCCAGGTCAAGAGTCGGGAAAACTGTATAGCTGCTTGTCTACCAATGCTTGAAAACGAGCCCAAGTCAGCTCAGGCAAAGGACACTCTCCGAGTCCCCTAATAAACCTGAGCACACAGAGCGTCCGAAAGTCCTCTCACTGGGCTCCCGGCCCGGCCCGTCAGCCAGGGCCCGCCTGCAGCTGCAGGGGCCTCAGCTCTGCTGCGGAGCAGGCAGCGAGCTTCTGGGTGCCTGCTTTCTCTTCTCTGACCCCTGCTCCCCGCTTTACTTCCTCTGTCTTCACTTCACTCCTTCACCCCTGCCTTCAGGGCAAGACTCTCCTATCTGCGCCACCAGATGACATTGCTCCAGGTTTCAAAGTTTTATGTGGTGCTCCTTTGCTTGACAATCCCTATGGCTCCTCAGCATCTGCAAGGTCAAGCCCATCCTCAGCATGGCACTTGAGGGTCACCCTCATCATGTGATGAGGACTGACAGCACTTGATATCGCTGAGCAGGAGGCAACATACCCTGGTGGCCACAGCGAGGGCCTCAGGTGACCTGGACTCCTGGGTCCCGGCTCTCTGCAGACTGACATCTTCTCTGGAGCTCTCTTCATCCAGATGGCCTTGGGCTGGAACCTTTACCTCTCCACGCGCCCCCCATCCCAGGCTTTAGTGCTGAGGGGAACCTTGGAGGTGCCTGGGGAGGCTGCATGGTAAATCCAGAACGCATTTTACAGATGAGGAAATCAAGGCCCGGAGGACGCAGAGGGACTTATCAGAGGTCACACAGCACTAAGATTAGGTCCCAGGTCCCTTGTTCCCAGCTCGGTGCTCCCCGACATCATGATGTGGGGGAGGGGGCTGGCCCTCCATCTGCATCTAGGACATGGATATCTACTTCTCTCCACTCTCCAAGGCAACTTGGCTGCTTCTGGCCCTGGGCTGGATCTTTGTCCCGGTGTACATCGCCGCCGGTGTGGTCACAATGCCGCAGTACCTGAAGAAGCGATTCGGGGGCCAGAGGATCCAGGTGTACATGTCTGTCCTGTCTCTTGTCCTGTACATCTTCACCAAGATTTCCGTGAGTACCCACTCCAGTGTGGCCATCTTGTCTCTCCGAAAATGCTGAGTTTATTTTTTTAAGAGTTTATTTATTAGAGAGAGAGAGAGAGAGCACGAGCAGGGCGAGGGGCAGAGGGAGAGGGAGAAGCAGGCTCCCCGCTGAGCAGGGAGCCCGATGCGGGACTCGATCCCAGGACCCTGGGATCATGACCTGAGCCGAAGGCAAATGCTTAACCAACTGAGCCACCCAGGCGCCCGAAAATGCTGAGTTTACATCATGGCTTATTGCTGGATGTAGGGATGGATAGATAGATAGATAGATAGATAGATAGATAGATAGATAGATGATAGATAGATAATAGGTAGGTAGAAGGAAGGCAGGCAGGGAGGGAGGGAGGGAGGAAGAAGGGATGAATCCACATACCTTCAATGCAAGCTCCCGCTCAGCAGTGGAGCGATCACAGATGGATGAGAAATGTCTGTTGCGTAAACGACGTCCCTCTATTCAAAGAGTTACTCATCTAGAGCGCATTCATTCATTTATCTTTCCGCTAATTGATTCTCCATTCAGCACCATGCACTGATTACCTAGAATGTTACAGTTAGAAAGGTCCTTGTTCTTCCTCCACTGACCTACACTTAGAAAACAAACCTAGGGCAAATGGTTTGCCCATGTCCACACAGAATGTAGCCATGGGACTGGAACTGAAATTTGGGTCCCGTGCCCCAGGCCAGGGGTCCTTGCACACTGTCCTGTTGTAGCCCTGGGATGGGTTCATGAAACAACCGTGCAGTGGGGTCAGCAAGCAGGCACTGAAAGGGGCCGAGTCCGTGAGCTTCCAGGTCAAGAGTCGGGAAAACTGTATAGCTGCTTGTCTACCAATGCTTGAAAACGAGCCCAAGTCAGCTCAGGCAAAGGACACTCTCCGAGTCCCCTAATAAACCTGAGCACACAGAGCGTCCGAAAGTCCTCTCACTGGGCTCCCGGCCCGGCCCGTCAGCCAGGGCCCGCCTGCAGCTGCAGGGGCCTCAGCTCTGCTGCGGAGCAGGCAGCGAGCTTCTGGGTGCCTGCTTTCTCTTCTCTGACCCCTGCTCCCCGCTTTACTTCCTCTGTCTTCACTTCACTCCTTCACCCCTGCCTTCAGGGCAAGACTCTCCTATCTGCGCCACCAGATGACATTGCTCCAGGTTTCAAAGTTTTATGTGGTGCTCCTTTGCTTGACAATCCCTATGGCTCCTCAGCATCTGCAAGGTCAAGCCCATCCTCAGCATGGCACTTGAGGGTCACCCTCATCATGTGATGAGGACTGACAGCACTTGATATCGCTGAGCAGGAGGCAACATACCCTGGTGGCCACAGCGAGGGCCTCAGGTGACCTGGACTCCTGGGTCCCGGCTCTCTGCAGACTGACATCTTCTCTGGAGCTCTCTTCATCCAGATGGCCTTGGGCTGGAACCTTTACCTCTCCACGGTGATGCTGCTGGCAGTGACAGCCGTCTACACCATTGCCGGTAGGGCCAAGGGCAGGTCTCACTGGGGTGCGGGCACCGCGAGCAGAAACCGAGAGACAGGGAGAGGTGGAGAGGGATGCCTAGGGATGCAGCAGTGAGCAGGGGTGCGGCTAGGAGACCGTCATCCGGACTGGAGTCACCAGGACTGCTCCAGACAAAGCCACCAGCCCTCCTTCCCCTGTGTCCCCCAGAGCATCTCTCGCAGGCCTGGGCACCTGGGACCCTGGCTTGTGGCTAAGTCAGCCTGCAAAGATGGGGAATTTCCATGGTGTTGGGAGGGGAGGGAGGGAGGCTTCCCGGTGGAGCTACCAGCACAGCAGAGAAATAGCCCTGGGGTGTTAAAAACAAAAAGAGCTAACTGAGGCACAGTAGCCGCTGAGGAGAGAAAGAGCTAGACCGGAGTGCCTGTAGCCGGGAACGGCCAGTCGGGGGAAGGCAGGTGGCCGGAACCCACCTGCTAAGAGGGCTCCCCAGTGTGGCCAAGCACAGGGCAGACACCCAGAGAAGAACCCGCTGTTGGTGCTGACTGATGAGCCCTCTCCTTGGGTCTGCAGGGGGCCTCACAGCCGTGATCTATACAGATGCTCTGCAGACGGTGATCATGGTGGGCGGTGCCCTGGTCCTCATGTTTCTGGGTAAGGAAGAGACCTGAATACACCCTACCATCATGCAGGAATTGCTCTCTGATATATCTTGGGCTTTCACCTCTGTGGTTTGATTAGAACTTTCCAGAGCATCCCACCACCCCCACTGCCAGGATGGGGTTACCAAAGAGCAGAGTTCTTGCTATACCAGCTAAGGGTCTGAGCCCCACATCTCTCCCCCATTCCCAAGTCCCATACCAGTTCCAAGCCCCAGGGCCCCACATGGGACTGGAAGCTAAGGTAGGGGCATGAGACACCCAGTGGGTCTCAGGGCTGTGTCACTAACTGTGGTCTCTCTCACAGGCTTTCAGGAGGTAGGCTGGTACCCAGGCCTGGAGCAGCGGTACAGACAGGCCATCCCTAATGCCACAGTCCCCAATACCACCTGCCATCTCCCCCGGTCTGATGCCTTCCATATGCTCCGGGACCCTGTGAGCGGGGACATTCCTTGGCCAGGCCTCATTTTCGGGCTCACAGTGCTGGCCACATGGTGCTGGTGCACGGACCAGGTGATGCCCCAGCCAGGCTTGACCCAGCCCATCACAACCTGGGGTGGCTCCCTGCAGGAAAACCATGCATCTAGCTGCAGAGAGGGTCGGGGCTTGTTTCGGGACCACCTTAGGGCCCACCTGTGACTGAGCTGAGCCCCACCTGACCTGAGTGGCCTGCCTCCACCCCTCCCTTTCCAGGTCATTGTGCAGAGGTCTCTCTCTGCCAAGAATCTGTCCCATGCCAAGGGGGGCTCTGTGCTGGGGGGCTACCTGAAGATCCTGCCCATGTTCTTCATCGTCATGCCCGGCATGATCAGCCGGGCCCTGTACCCAGGTAGGAGCTGGACAATGCTGCACTGGTGGTGGGGGTGAGGGGTGGGGAGGGGGTGTCCCATGCTATTTCTATTAAGATACATATGTGTTAGGCTTTGTGGGCCAAACATACAATAAGTATTTCAGAAGAAGAAATTTGTATCTAAATGTCATTTTAAAATCCTACACTCCCTTTATAAGGGAAAGACCAAAGAAGGCACTCTCGGTACCTTCCAAGGATTTTTGCCTTTTAGCAAGATATGGGGCCTAAAACCCACAGGAGTCTGTCAGGCTTTGCAGGGTAGTATGTGGTCAAGAGATTTATTGGAGACAGCTAAATCGTGGTACCCAGACATCTGCCTGCCCCTTGAACCTCTGGGTCCTGCAAGAGATGCTGGTTCCTGCCAGAGTCACCAGGATACACTTTCCTGTAGTTTTTTTCCTGTTTGAAAGCAAATATTGGGCCAAAGCAAGGAGGCACAGGAAGACTTGGCTCTAATGGCCCTCACTTCTTCTATAGATGAGGTGGGCTGTGTAGACCCTGACATTTGCCGAAAAATCTGCGGGGCCCGAGTGGGCTGCTCCAACATCGCCTACCCCAAGCTGGTCATAGCCCTCATGCCTGTCGGTGAGTCCTGTCTCCCCACACCTCCCTTCACATCATCCCCAGGCTTCCTCCAATCCCTGCTGCCCAGGAGGGTTTGCATTAACGGTGGACATGGACGGGAGTAGGGAATAAGAACCTTCACCTCCACACCTCCTTCCCCCAACTCACGTGAGCGCGCACACACACACACGTGCACGTGTGTATGCGCACGCACACACACACTTCTCACAAGCGTCTATAAAGCACCCACTCTGGCTCTAATCATGGATATGCAGGGATGAAAGGCAGGCCCCTGAGCTCGGGCTTTATGCCATCCCCAGGACACCTGGGCTCACTGAGGATACAATGCTATGTCACCAGTGTGGGGACACAGTGGGGCTGAGGGAGCCCTAAGGAGACACCTGACCCGGCCCAGGGGAATGTTGGAGAAGGTTTCCCAGAGGAGAGGAAATGGAGCTGAATCCCAAGGAACATCTTAGGCAGACGAAGCCAGATGCAGGTGGGAAATGTCATTCAGGGAGGAGGGACTATGTGTGCGAAGGCTGAGGGCTGACAGAGAGCAGGGTCTGAAGCAGCCCCGGAGGGTTCACCTGCAGAGGAATGGACCACAGTGGTGGAGAGGAGGCCGTGGCCACACCTCACCGTGGAGCAGAGCCTCTCCTCTGGGTTTGAGGGGATTTGAGCTTCCGAAGGACCAGTCTGATGGAGGGTTCACTTTGCAGGAGGCAGAGGGATGCGGTGCTGGTGGCCGAGCCAGGTCTGTGGTTTCAGGGGTGGACAGAAGGGATTTAAAAGATCTTCGTGAGGTAGAGGCGGCAGGATTTGGTGACTGCTTACATTTGAGGGAGGAGAAAGACGGAGGGATCTAGAGAGGGCTCCCACGTCCTGGGTTTACAATGATATTGAGAGTGGGGACATAGGGAAAAAGCCAGGGTTATGAGGGAAGTCCTTGAGTTGAGCTTTCCCCTCCCTCTAGTAGAACAAGAAATGAATCAAAGAAATAGTAGAGACGGTAGGAGGCCTGGCGAGGAGAGGCCGTCCTCAGTGGGGGCTGATCGAGGGAGGTGGGAAGGAAGGGCAGCAGAGGAGGGGGTCTAGGATAACCGAGTGCCGTGGAGATCGGAGTTTGCTAACCAAAGGAAGCAACAGAAGGCCCCGGAGGAAGGCGCTGGCCTAGGTTTGTTTGGAATGCCTTGAGTCTTTCAGGGAGACCTCCGGGAGGTGATTAAATACTTGGACTGGGAGGAGAGAGGGCCGAGGTAGGGCTGACAGAGAGCGGTCTCCCCAGGGACACATGAGTGGTTGTTTCTAGAAGCTCGATGCATTAGAGTCATAGAGACCTCAGATATCAGTGGGTTCCACCCTCTCCTGCTATGTGGGGGGAGAATAGGTCCAGAAAGGAAGGAACTAGTTTAAAGATCACACAGCTAGTTGCTTGCAGAACCAGGAAACAAACCCAGGCCTTCTGCCTCCCAGTCTGCGGCCTTAACCTGGCACCACCGTGTCCATGAAAAGGCACACAGACTGAAAACACTCCATTCTTAACAGGCACCCTCCTCCCCACCAGGGGCCCCTAACCAAGTGTCTACAAGCTCTGAAGCCCAGACTGAGGTGTCAAAGCTGCAGGGTCACTTAGGCCCATCGCTCTTAGTGATGCAGATGAGGAGGCTGGGCCTGGGCAGGGGCGGTGCAGGGGACTCACTCAGGGCCCTGGTGCTTATCCGGAAGCGGGCCTCCGGGTCTCCAGGATTCCTCATCCGCACGGATGGGAACCTCATGCAATAGCATCCCTACCCCCACAACCCTGGCTCTGCTGGACCCTGTAGCCACCGTGGCCCCTGGCAGAGCTGGCCTTCCCAGGCTGGCTGCCCATGGAGACCTCGCCTCTCCCCAGGTCTGCGGGGCCTGATGATAGCCGTGATCCTGGCCGCCCTCATGAGCTCACTCACGTCCATCTTCAACAGCAGTGGCACCTTGTTTGCCATCGATGTGTGGCTGCGCTTCCGAAGGAAGGCTACAGAGCAGGAGCTGATGGTGGTGGGCAGGTGCACTGGCCCCTCCTTCTGGAGCGCCCCCTCCCAGCAGGCAGAACCCCTCTCCCCTCTCCTCCTTGTCCTGGGTTGCCCTTGGTGGGGAGGGGGGATGAGGTGGGGTGTGGGCCCGGACTGGCAGTCAGAGCACCTGGTTCTAGCACCAACTTCCTACATGACCTCAGGTGAGTCCCTTCCCAACTCTGGACATTCCTCTGCTTCCAGAATAAGGAGAGAAAAAAAAAAGTCTCTTCCCGGTCTGTTCAACTTTCTCTTTCTCTGATCAACAGAGTAAGTGAGAGAAGCTGACAAAGCATTTAAGAAAGGGAAGGTGAACTGTATGGGGGGGGGTAGTTAGCAAGCAGCTCACCCCCAGGAGCTTTAGATCGGCCCAGCTGTTATCCCAGGAAAACAGAAAGCCTGTTAATTTACTCCATCAGACTCACCCTAAGCATTCCCCTTGCATCACAGCTTTTGCGGGGGACACCGGGGCACCTTGTACTAGCCTGCCCTGAGGGCTGCTAATGGCAACAGGAGTGCAGGTAATGCAGCGTGGGGCCGCCTCAGCCGGGAAGTTCGCAGGGAGGCTGTCTCCAGTGGACGCAGAGCCTTGAACAGCAAGCTGGAGAACTTGAACTTTATCTCCTTGGTTTTGATTTTGTGCTTTTCAAAGTATCACTTGGTGGCTTATTTTCTTTTTCTCCCTAGGCTTGTAGTTTACACTGGGTTAAGGGGCACTTTCTGAACTCTTTGCTTCATAATTTAAGGCTCTGTGACTCAGGTGTCCAGGCTAACACGCAGGGCCTGAGCATTTAAGGATCTGCGAGGGGAGGGATGAGCAACTACCACTTGGGTAGCTGTTGCTCTAGTGGGGCCTGAGGGGGAAAATGAGGGAGGGAAAGGAGAGGAGAGGACAAGTGCGCCGAGGCACTTCCAAGACCCCTCCTTCGTTCTTGTACTCAGCCGGTTGCACTGCCATTTATTTCATCCATCAGTGGGGTTTGAGCACCATCTCCTGGCCGTGTGCATTATTGCATCCAAGAAAAGTTTTCAACTTGTTCACACAAAATCATGAGAGAGTGCTTTAGGGTACTAGGGGACTCAGTTGAGGGGGAGTCAGGAGGAGAAGGTGGGGTCCGCACTCTGAGCTAAATGTCAATGTAAGGGAGCAGTGGGTTAGAGCTGGAGGAGCACAAAGAAGGGAAAAGTCTCTGGAACTAAAGCCATCCTAGAGAAGGGGGCTGTCCTGCACAGGGTTTGGATGCAAAAGAGAAGAAAAGGCATCCAAGCCAAGACCAGAAGCCATTTACTGAAGTGGGGGTTGTTGTAAAAAGTATGGCTTTCTCCCTGAAGAGCAGGTGGCCTACATGACCTCACAGACCCCAATTCAAAAATCCTGGGTTTCTTGGATTCTGGAATTCTGATATTCTGGGATTTTAGAGGCCTAAATTTCTGGAATCTTAGCATTTCCAGTCTCCTAGCATTCTCGGACTCAGTGACCATGCATTCCAGTCCCTTCTCCCTTCCCAGTTTCTGTGCCCCCCTACCCCCCTACCCCATGCCTATGCCTCCCTGTGCCCTCCTCACAGAGTGTTTGTGGTGTTCCTGGTTGTCATCAGCATCCTCTGGATCCCCATCATCCAAAGCTCCAACAGCGGGCAGCTCTTCGACTACATCCAGTCTGTCACCAGCTACCTGGCCCCGCCTGTCACCGCCCTCTTCCTGCTGGCCATTTTCTGCAAGAGGGTCACAGAGCCTGTGAGTGCGACAGGGCACCTGTCTCTCCCTGTACACCAGAGGGTCAGGAGGTCCGGTCTGTCTGCAGCCTGGTGTCTCTCTGAGACATATCAGACACACACACTGCCTCCTTTAGGCTTCCGTCTCCCCATCCATAGCGTCGGGTTTTGATTCATTCGTTCACTTGACAAACATTCATTGATCCTATTATGGAGGCTTCTAGATGCAATGGTTTACAAGGTTCACGTAGGTCCACCATCACTGGGCCAGATGGGAGGAAAGATGACTCAATAAGAAATACCAATAAAGTCTGCTGTGAGAGTGGGGGTCAGGGGTACCTAACCCACGGGATGCCTGGGAGCGGGCCAGGGAAGCCTTCCTGGAGGAAGTGACATCTGATCTTAGGCCGGATTAATGGGGAAGAGAAGAATGTTCCTGACACATGGAAGTGTGTATAAAAGGCCAGGACAGACGGGAGGATCTCTGGGGTCTGTTCCCTCTCTAACCCCATAACGTTCTGTATGTAGGCAAAATACCAGCCACAGATGACCCCGCACATGCATCATTCACGAAACTGCTGAAAGGCCTGGGAGGAGCTAGAGGTGCCAGGACCATTGCCTTGGTTACCTCCAGGAAAACCTAGAAAAGAGGGGCCCAATTCTGCTGGCTGTGCTTTGGGGGCTAAGGGATGTCATGGACACAACTCCGCAGGGGCCACAGGAGAGCTCAAAGTCATTGCAAAGGACAACTCAGAAGCCCCTTTCCCCAGGGAGTACCCAGGCCACTTGTCGACTGTTTCCTGAGGTCTAACCTCCCTGCTGCTCACGATGGTGCACAGCATGGCTCGGCTCGGCTGAATTCTGGGTGTTTCTGCTCATTCCAGAATTTTTTTTTTAAAAGATTTTATTTATTTATTTGACAGAGAGAGTCACACAGAGAGAGGGAACACAAGCAGGGGGAGTGGGAGAGGGAGAAGCAGGCCTCCCGCTGAGCGGGGAGCCTGATGCGGGACTTGATCCCAGGACCCTGGGACCATGACCCCAGCCGAAGGCAGATGCTTAACGACTGAGCCACCCAGGCGCCCCTCATTCCAGAATTCTTGATATCAGGATCGGCATCTCATTTTTAAAAATACGAGCCCTCTAACCCTCACATACGGGGAACAGGTATAGGTTTGGGTCAAGTGGTGTTATAAACAAGATAGGGAGGTGCCAGAGCTTTGCTTGCTTTCTTTCTTTCTTTCTTTCTTTCTTTCTTTCTTCTTTTCTTTCTTCTTTTCTTTCTTTCTTTCTTTCTTTCTTTCTTTCTTTCTTTCTTTCTTTTTTTTCTTTCTTTTTCTTCTTTCTTTCTTTCTTTTTCTTTCTAGAAGCGCTCTATTCTGATTTTTTATTTATTATAACAGAAAATCGGGATGGGGGATCTTGGTTTTCCCTGCTCATTACAAAACCATATTCCATTCTAGTTGAATACTAAGCATCTATACTTAGTATATACTAATTTCTCTTATCATTGCGCATGAGAAAACTCCAAGCCAGTGAGGTTGAGTCTCTATTTCAATCATTCTGGAACAGAGCCAGGATCCAACTCCTCGTCTGTCTGACTCTGGAGCCTGTGCCCTCCCCAAGGCACCACTCTGCCTGCCTTTAAGTTCAGACAAAGCCTCAGCATTAACAGGGAGCTCACTAAGGTGGGCCTGCAAACACTGTAACAGACCGTGGCTTTGAGCTTGCTTGGGCCTCCCATGTCTACCCTCTCTCCACAGGGAGCCTTCTGGGGCCTCATGTTTGGCCTGGCTGTAGGGCTTCTGCGCATGATCCTGGAGTTCTCATACCCTGTGCCAGCCTGTGGGGAGGTAGACCAGAGGCCGGCCGTGCTGAAGGACTTCCACTACCTCTACTTTGCCCTCCTGCTCTGTGGGCTCACTGCCATCGTCATTGTAGCCGTCAGCCTCTGTACCACTCCCATCCCTGAGGAAAAGGCAAGTGGAGTGCTTGTGCTGGGGCTTCTAAAAATGCTGTCCCTACCCCCGGGGCCTGGGATTCTACCACTGAGTTTCATTCCAGTGGGTTGTCTCCTCTGTGGCCATACACACGTCCTTGGGACGGGGAGCTCACTGGACTATGCAATCCCAGGTGAAAAGTAATTCATTCAATTGGAAAATTACTCAGGGAGCACCTCCTGCATGCCAGGCACTCTGCTAGGGTTACAAAGATGAATGGTCCCTGCCAGCAACCTTTGGGGACAGACACCAACGCCAACAGTTAGTCTACCAAGAGAAAGTGCAGAAGGACCAAGCTCAAAGGGAGGGGCTGAGCACAGGGGGGGCAGTCACCCCTGCGGGGCTGCAGAGGGTTCCCCGACAAGGTCACTTTGAGCTGGCCCTAGAGGAAGGAGGAAGGATTTGTTGGCCAGTCAAGAAACAGGTAGATGAGAAAAGACACAGAGCCCCCCCAGAGCAAGCGCTCCCCTCTCCCATGCTGACAGATTTTCCAGTCCTCAGTCATGGAAGCTGTCTTTTGAAACCTTTCATCTTTACATCATGGGCGGTCATGACACGGCACCGCCATCTGCGTGGCTTCAACAACTGAAGTTTATTTTCTCACAGTTCTGGAGGCATGAAGTCTGAGATCAAGGTGTTGGCAGAGTTGTTTCCGCTGAGGCCCCTCCTTGGCTTGCAGATGTCTGTCTTCGCCTCTCTGTCGTCACCCTGTCTTCCCCTGAGTGTCTGTGTCCTAATCTCCTCTTCTTAGAAGGACACCAGTTGTATTGGATTAGGATCACTCTAATGTCCTCATTTAACCTTAATTACCACTTTAAAGGCCTTATCTGCACATACAGTCACATTCTGAAGTACTGGAGGTTAGGACATACGAATTGGGAGGGGGTAGAATTCAGCCCATAACAGAGCCCGTGCCAGAAGCTAGTCCCTGGAACATTGGGTGGAAGGCATTACTAACATCCCTTATCTGTATGGTGCTGGAGAGTTTGCAAAACCACTCGAGACCCTGGATGTCACTAATTCCTCCTACAAACAGAGGAGCCAAGAGAGGCGGGTCTCTCTGGTGGCTCGCTCCAGAAGTGATCTCTCCCCACTGCTTGAATCCTCAGCTTCTCCGTTGTCTGCTGCCTCACTCCCATACAGAAGTGTCTCCCACTCGAAAGCCCCTCCCCGGACCCCGGCCCTCCCTAGTTACGCTGCCTCCCGCTGGGCTCCTCAACAGCCGACTTTGCAGGGTGATCACTCGCAGCCTTCACTTCCCACCTCTTGTCTCCTTCTCATCCAGCCTGGCTGATGTCCCCCCTTCCCCCGAAATTGCTCTCACCAAGACCCCAATAACCTTCTTGTTGCTAGAAATTAACGAACATTCCCCCATCTTCGTCCTCAGTGAGTTCTGAGGAGAACCAGCCACCACGGACCACTTCCTGCATCCTGAAGACCTCTCTTCTGCTCATGTCCATGACACGTGCCCCTCCAGTTTGGTTTTCAGTGTCCCTTAGGGTCCCACCTATGACCTAAAACCCTTCTCACCCCACACTGTCACTGAGCTGTCCTATCCATACCCCCGAACTCAACAATCCTCTACAGGAAGATGAAACTCCATTCTCTCTCTCTCGCCCAAGATTCAAACCCAAATCCAGCTGCCTCCCATGACATAAAGAGACACCACCCATACACGGCTAATGACACATTGTGTAAGTATGAAGTCACACTTACTAAGAGGTACTTTCAAGTGGAGAAGCAGTCTGGGCTCTCCTGAGACCGTACAAAGACATAGCTGGAAGCCAGTGGAAGGGTCCTGGAGGATGGTCGCTCACCCTGGGCTGCTGGACATGCCTGTAGGAATTTGGCAGCAGGGCAGGGGATACCTGGGCCAATATGTAACCAAGAGCTGCTGGGCCAGGAAAAGAGCTTTTTGGAAAGGAGACAGTACAGAGCTCAGATAGTCCTGGTTGGGTCCAATCAATTTCAGCTAGAGAACTTGCTGGATTTTCTGCTGCGCCACCAAAATGGGAGAAGAGAGAAAGCCACCAGGGCTGTCCAGGGGACACGGGCTTGCTGCTCTGTCCCTGGACATCTCCACTCTGTGGCAGCAGGCTCTGCAGGCACTCTGTAGGCAGACTCTTCGAGCTCGTCCGCCACCCACCTGATGGTCCAAGGCAGGAACCTAAGAGCCACGTTCGCTTCTCCCTCACCCGAAGACCACCCCCTTCTCCTCCCCCAGATGCTCTGTATTTCTTGCTCTGCTGTTCCAACAGCCTCCAGCTTGAATCCCTTCAATTCACTCCAAGAGATCTTTCTAAATCCCACCACTTAGAGTCTCTTCCTTTTGTCTAAAGTCTGCAGGGGCTCTCCATTGCCTATGAGTTTCTTTTTCCAAGGTAGGGTTGTAGAAGCCTTCTGTCATAGGGCACCTGCCTCCCTGTCCGGCTTCTTTCCTCCCAGGCTATGAGCCTAGAGCCTGGAGCAGGTGCTCAGGGGGAGCAGGTGCTCAGGGGGTGCAGCTTTTCAAAGGAAAGGGCATTCGGGCTGAGAGCCAGGCCTCCTGACTCGGTCCTGTGCCTGTTCCTCACGCTCCTCACTGCTCTGTTGGCCTCCCGTGAAGGGGAGTCCTCTTGTTCCACCGTAAGACTACCCCCAAGGGTACCCAAGTCAAGCAGTATTTTCTTTCCCTCCAGCTTGCTCGCCTGACGTGGTGGACACGGAACGGTCCCCACCCTAAGCTGGAGAAGGAGGCCCTGGAGGGCACGCCAGGGACATCAGAGATGCCATCTGGGGTGAGCCCTCCAGGAGGTGGAGGGAGAGAGAGCTCCAGCCAGGGCCAGGACCAGCATGGAGGTAGGCTGGGGGCATGCTGGGGGACACACGTCAGAGAAGAGTAACGGGGATGCCATGTCATGGGGTCCCAGAGACCCTCCTTTGGGGCTCCCTGGGGATGGGGTCTCTGAGGGATGCCAAAAAAAAAAAAAAAATGACCGTTCCTCCCTTCCTGCATGGCTATTGAACTATTTGAGAAATAAGACAAATAAGGAAGGCAGATAGGAGCCAAAATATAGGTAGAAAGATTTTGTTTGTATCTGTGGGGGAGGTGCGTTTCCTTATGGTGAAGCCCGGTGTTAGACGGAGGTGCCCATCAGCCGCCTACCCCCGGGAGCCCAACATTGACAAGGAGGAGGGAGGGACACAACCAAGCATGTCCCCTCCATGCTTCCCAAATCTACCAGGAGGGGAGAGTCCCCTCTCTTCCCCGGGTTGAATGAGTCTAAGGGCAGAAAAAAGGGTGTTACACTCAGTTCCCTCCAGATGGAAGGAAACATGAGGCACATCAAAGAAACCGGCCCCCACTTTATTATTTACTTATTTCCCACGGGGCTTAAAAATTCTGCCTAAAGTCACAGAGACGCATGGCTGTCCCTCACGGGATAAGAGCAGCCCTGGGTCCATACAGTTCTGTCCATCTTCATACGGTTCCTCCAGCCTGACAGCCACTCCTATGGGTATCGTCCTTGAGCTGCTGATGGGCCATATACGTTTTGCCTCATAGAGGTTCTTGCATGTGTTAGAATAGTACCTTAGTGAGATGTACTCCAAGGCCACACAGTCTCTAAAGTTGAAAATTGGTATAAGACATGTTTCTGCTTTAGACATAATGCAACTATAACCTTCCTACAGCGTGATTAAACAACCATGTTAGAATAGTCTGACATAATGACATTACAGAGATTTCCTAAATTATAAAATTCCTAAGGGAAAATTATAGTCAAAAAAGTTAAATCAGGTTGCAAGTTAAAGCCCCAAATCAATTTCTCTTGCACTCAGGAATTAATAACTTAATGACATTTAAGTCCTAAATTTACTTCCTGCCTCAGTTAGAGGGAACCCCACCACCTGGGTGGAGTTGGGGTGCCTTTGTCAGCTGCCTTCTCCTTCAGGGCCTCAACAATGTCTTAGTTCCATTCCCAGCCTCTGGTGTCCACACTTTTAATAACTCGTGTAAGTCAAGAGCATAGGTAAGGTCGTCAAAGTGCCTGTTGTCGGACCGGAACAGGTCCCTCATCTTTGCCAGGTTCGCGCTGGGGGGGGGTGGGGAGCTTTTGCTCCCCTGAGGCCTGAGAAATTGCCCACCTTTCTTGACTCCCTCCACTTTGCTAAGGCCCTGCCTAGAGAAGCAGCCAGGTGCCTAGAGTTAATAACATCATAAGCTCCAGCATCCCACCAAGATCTCACACTCCCATCTTCTTACCCAAGCTGCAGCAATTAAAAGCCAGTGGTCCACTATAAAAAGCTATGCGTAATGGAGAATGTAACCCTTTACAAACTTCCAAGGTCAAAACCCACATAGGCTGACTTCAGAAAGCACCACTAAAGCTCAAAGTCAACATCCTCCCCCGCCCCCCTGTCTAATCAGTTGCCCCAGTAGTTCCAGTGTGTTTTGCTTTGCACAATGTGACCCCTTATTTCTTTTTCAAGCTTTGTGGTCCATGCACCAGATGGGATCTCAAAACAGTTTCGCCCCGCATCATGGCAAGAACCAGGTCTTGCCCCTATAAAATGTATGGCAGGGAGGAATCGCAGGCCCTTCTAGGGAGGTAGATCCAAGAGAAGAAAGGGACGGGGAGAAGCTAGGAAGGTAGCTTCAGTGGGAGGAGGAAGGGCACCACTCGTGCTGTCCTGGCGGAACCCCGGCATGAGATAGACGGACATGATCGTTGCGGCTTTCCCTGGCCGGCCCCGTGCTGCAGGGCAGAGCCTATCCCTTGAGAAGCAGAGAAACTTCTGCTCCCTGTGGGGGGCTTGCTCCCCACAAGATGAAGGAGCACTTCCCATTCCTATAAGGCAGCCTCTGGAATCCCCCTCTCAAAAGGTCCACAGGCAGATGAAGTCTCATCCGTGTTGTCCTCAGGTTAAATAGCGAAACTGTCCTCAGGCAGGCCAGTGCGGAGTGGGAAAGTGCTTCCCAGTGTAGTTTTGTGTCCTAAAAAAAAAAAGATGAAAAAAATTTTAAGGACAGCCGAATAGATCTGAAAGAAGTGTACGCATCCAGGTTGTAGACAGACTTAGATGGACTGGGTCACCAATAACCACCTAGTGACTTCTGAGCCTCGGAATTTGCACGTGACGCCCCATGCATCATCTGTTTCTGAGGGCAGCCCTGAGAATCAGAAGAGAGTTCTTGGATAGGCTTGTAAAATGCTAAGACCTAGTATACTTGAAATGCCACACGCCTGGTATTGCTTAGTGCAGCCTTGTCGCTGTGTGACCTCAAGCAGGTCCCTTCCTTTCACTGAGCCTTTTCCCTCCTGGGTAAGGAGGGAGCAGGACCAGATGGTCTCTTCATGGGGCCAGAGATCGCACTCTGTAGTCGCACTGAGCTTACCAGGTACCAAGTTCCAAAGTCATTAAGATAATAAAGCATTTCCAGTGGGTTCTGTCCAACCTCAATGAAATATTTATTTTAATATGCTGTCTGCTAATGCAAAAAAACCCCAACTTTAAAAATACTTTATTACTTTCTTTAAGCTTAGTTTTTAAAGAACTGAGCTACTCTTTAACCTCAAAACAGCCCCATCCTGGTGCTGGGGAGCCAGGTCCGCACTGGCTCAGTCTCATGCACGTTTGGAACCTTATAGTCCCCAGAGCCTCTCCCCTGCTGCTCCAGCATGGGTCACTTTTCAAAATGCTAGCAAATGTCCATTCTTATCTGATGCTCAAAGCAACCTGGAGAAGAACCAAGCATCACGGTTAACCTGTTTGAGAGAGAAACTGCAGCTTGGAGAAGCCGAGTGCGTGACTTGCACAGGACCTCAGGCAGGCCAATGCGGAGTGGGAAAGTGGTTCCCAGCCATCCTGGGAGAGATCATGCCCCGCTCCATCCTCATGCTCTGAATTGGGATGAGCCCCATCATCCTCACCCCGTCCCCACTACCTGCATCACTGAGAGGCTCAGCTGGATGACTGGACGCTGGGGCCAGAGCTCTGTCCCAGTCCCAGCTGGGCGCCCAGTCTGTAAGCTCCCAGCAAGGCCCAGTGCCACCTGCCTTTTTTTCTGTGCTCCCCCCACCACCCCGCCTTCCGTGTCTCACCGGCTCCCCCTCCCCTCCCCCGTCACTCCCCTGTCTGCCACCTGGCCTCACCTCCCCTTCTGCTTCCCTTCCCCCGGCTGTGGTCCTCAGCCCCGCGCAGGCGGTGGGGCAGGCTGCTGTGGGACTGGTTCTGCGGGCTGACCGGCCGCCCGGAGCCCGCGCTCAGCCCCGAGGAGATGGCCGCACGCCAGCAGGAGCTGACCAGCATTGCCGAGGAGCCGCTCTGGAGAAGCGTCTGCGATGTCAATGCCATCCTGCTGCTGGCCATCAACATCTTCCTCTGGGGCTATTTTGCCTGACTCCGCAGACCTGGCTTCAGTGGAGACAGAGTAAACTGGACTGGAGCTGGGCCAGTCCATCTTGCTGTGAAAACCGGGGACCACTGAGGCTGAGACGGCAGGAGCCCCTGCCCCAACCTGCACACTGGCCACGTGGGGAAAGGGAGACCAGAGAGGGCTCTGGGTTTGCTCAGGGCCACACAGCAGGACTCGCACCCAGGTCTTCTGATTCCAGCTCTTTTTCCATTATACTGCCTTATGTTCCTACCTCAGAAACACAGTTTCCACCCTCCTGGTGCTTCTATTTAGGAGCTTTTACTATACATGTATTTTGAGGCTTAAAAAAGTGGAAGATATAAGAAAAGGGTTGCAAAAACATTGCAAAAGTCCAAGTGCATCTTTGCTCACCTGTATCCCTTCCCTCCGCCCTTTGTCCTCTCCTCCCTCCCTAGTTCCCAAACCCTAGTCATCTATTTCCGGCAGGCACCGACCCAGGAGGGCCTTTACTCCCACTGCCAGACCCCAGGGAGTGAGGGACCAGGGTGGAATGTAAGCATGGTGACAGATGGTGTTTGGGCAGGGAGCTCTGGGGGGGCTCTCCTTGGTGCCACTCAAATTCTGCCCCTTCCCACCGTCACTTCTGAACACACGTGGAGTTTCCACTGCCTTGAGGCATTTACCGTACTTGCCACAACTGGGTCAGGATCCCACACCCTCTGGACCTGCCTCTGTGACAGTACTAATCACTGTCCTGTGATGTTTATCTCCCCGGCTACGCTGGGTACTCCAAGGGGCAAGGATCAAAGACCAAGGGCCACGTCCCAAGTGACTATGTACCCAGAAAGTAACAGCGTCCAATAAATGGTGAATTAGTAATTCTCTAAGGTCCTGGAAGGCTTCGCGTGGCGGCTGGCTGGGTAGTGACTTGGGGAGCCAGCTGGTCGGGAGGAGCCTCCTCCAACTGGAGTGTGCACACCATGCCTCAGATGTCTGGAAAGGGACCACAGCCCTGCCCCTTTGCCAAGGACACAGTGAGAAGGTCCCTTCCTTTCTGTCTCATGTCTAGGCTGCCCCTACTCTCATCTGACCCTCTTCGATGCTGCCTCTGATCATCACTCACCGTAAGTGACTACAAATAAAATTCTCGTCTTTTAAGGCTTAAACACAGCTGATTCTATGAACGCCTCCTGTTGCTGCTGCCTCCACATTTCCGTGTCCCCTGACCTTTGACCTCATAGGTGTCACCTCACCTGGCCGTACTTTCCTCACTGTTGCCTACTGACCGTTACTGGGAACTCAGCTTTTCCCCCTCATTTTACCCAAAACCATTCCCTTGAAGCATTTGCGTGCAACCAAATGTACTGAGGGTTTGGGGAGGGAAAGAATCTTAAACCACAGAAGCACAATTTAAAATTAAGTATTGAACATCCCTATATTTGAAAGATTCTAGCAGCCTATGAGGGTTCCCCACAGGCCTCTGAGTCTCTAACCTCCTGCCGTCTGCCCTGCGGTGCCCACTCCCCTCCGCAGACTCTACTGTCCTGCAGGGCCTCCTCCTCAGTGTCCCCTCTCTGTGATGCGAGCCTGTCTGGGTCCAGACCTCTGTCCTTTCAGCCAGAGATGCGTGGGCATGCTATCAAAGGTAGTAGGGCCATGAGACAGGTAGCCACTCTCGTTCTCTACCCTCTTTGCCTGGTTGGTTCCTACTTATTCCTTACCTGGCCGTAAAAATTCTACACATCCTAAGGGAAGCCATATTTCCCAGTGATGACCTTACTATGATCAGCTGTCTTCCAAAGCAGCTAAGTCCCCAGCACACAGCATAGAGTCTCATGGCCCCTGACTTTACCTTTGAAGAAAATGTCAGAGTGACCTATCTGTATAATGATGCCAGGAATATTCATCTCATCTCCTAGATTGTAAGCTCCCCAACCGAGTCACCATTTGCACCCAAATGCAAAGGTACCTGGCACGGGATGGGTGCTAAAAAGAATGTGTTATATGAATAAGTGAAAGAATAAATTAATGAATGAGAGAAAGAGCATCCTTAGCAGAGCAAACCAAATGTTCAAAACACAGAGGTGGGGGAAAACCAGGACACAATCAGGAAACAAAAAGTAGTTTAAAATATCTGCATTGGCAAGGCCCCCACTAACCCATCTGGCTTCTTCATGCAAGTGAGCAAAAAGTGCCTTTCCTTCTTGGTGTGGGACCCCTTGCCAGGGCTCATGGGTGGCTGCGTTTCTGCCCCTACACGCCCTCCTGGCCAGATGCACTTGTGCAGGGCACCACCTGCACATCCAGATGTCGTAGCCCCGCTGTGCTGGGGAGTGGTGAGGGAGGTAAGTGGGGGCTAGTTTGTGCTAAACCTGGAACTTCATTATTTCTTTCCCAGATCACCGCACCAGCCTCTTGACGGTCATCCATCTCTGTGTTCAAGCTCTCTTCCAATTCACCCTATTACCGGAGCAAGAATGATCTTTGTAAAATGTAAATCTTGTGTTGCCCATCGGTGTAAGATTCTCTACAGTGTTTCCTAGCCCAGCAGGAGGCCCTATAAAAACTGCTAGCAATACCCTCAGGGTTTAGTCCTTCGGACTCCTTCTCTACTGCAGCCAAAGAGAGGCTGTTCTGTACAGTGGTTAAGAGCGGGGACTTGGAAGCCTGACCTTCTGGAACCTTCTGGTTCTGCCCCTTGCTAACTACATGATCCCAGGAAAGTTGCTTAACCTCTCTGATTCCTTTCGACAAATTGGAGATATTAATTACAGCTACTGCAGAGAGTTGTTGAGGGGATTCAAGGAAGCAATTAATATAAAGTATTCTAAACAGTGCCTGGCACATAAAGTCGTAATTAAACTCAATAAACATTAGCTATTATAACTACTAATAGTAGAGCTGAGATGGGCGCACAGGAGGCTCGACACTACGTCATCCTATTATTTCAGAGCTCGCACAACATGCTGTCAGAACAAAGCAGGGGAGTGATTAATTTTTCCTGAGGAATCAGGAAAGGGCATAACAGAAAAGTTCATACTGGAGCTGGACTTTGGAAGATGAGTTGGAGTTTTCTAGGACAAGTCATGCAGGGCAGAGGGACTGCATGAGCAAAGGAGGTAAGGGGCAAAAGTGCATGGTACGTTCCCATAAAATAGGGATACTATTTGCTCATTTGCAAATATTGACCCTACACATTTAATCTCCCTTTATAAATCATGTTTCATTTCAGCCTCTCAGCTTGAAGGCAGAGAGCTCTGAGGTTTATTGCGCAGAGACAGGAGTGAAATTTGCATCTGACCACGGACGCAGAGGCTGCCCAGCCCCGCTCATATCTCCCAGGCCTGCACCAGTGCTGTTTGCTGGGTGACTTTCTGCAGAAAGCCCTACGGCTCTGTGCTGACTGCTTTCTCTGGTTGCAGAAAAATGCTTTGCTGCCTGCACAGAGCAGGCTGGAAGTGGCGGGGGGGGGGGGGTGGGTAGTTAAGAGCTTGGGAACAGCGCTCAACCAACGACAAACAAGAGTTGGTGAAAGAGCTAGGAGGCTTGCTGTGAACCATCTCCAGAGCTTCTCAGGGGCTTGAGCCCCAGTTGCCCACAGCGTTAACTTGCCCATGAATAAATAGCTGCCTTCCCTGTGAGGAAATGCTGTCTCATTTCCTCACGTTCCTGCTGGGATCCTGGGATCACCTGACAAATAAGCTACTTGCACCTGCTTTTACGTGCTACTTCTGGGAAACCAAACTCAGTCTTTTGAGACTCGAAAGTCCTTGTGACCAAGCTTAATTTTGCTACTACTTGCTTTGTGAGCACCCCCTGCCCCCACCATACCTCAGTTTCTTCATCCTTAATAAGAGTGGGGGGGGGGGAGCTGCAGAGATTTGAATTAGCTGAGATGGAATCAGGAGTCCTCTAATGCTAACAGGGCATGCTTCTGACTCGAGCCCAGCTCTGTCCGGGGGCGGGGGCGGGGGGGGCGGTGGAGGAGGGGTACAGGGAAAGCTGCACACTGGTACACTGGAGCGGAAACAGCACAAAGAGAGAAACACTGAAAAGTAGTTTTTGGGGAATTGAAATGGGTTTGCCGTGAGCAATAACGACATGAATTTGCGGCTTTGGACTATAAAAGGGTGATGTTTAAAAACAAATCGTACTCTTAAAAATACCATGAAGAAACATTTTTAAAAGTGATCTGTAATTGAGCTTGGACCACAAAAGCACTCAATTTAATATGTGAGGTTCATAACTATGTCCCTAAGTGTGAGAGTTCACATCAGTTAGAAGGCGGTGGAAACTGCTGGGAGCCCAGGCAAAACAGGGTCAGTTTTCCATTAACCTACAACTAGTGTCTCTCTCGACTTCCAGCGCTAAGTAAGATGGCTGTAATTTCTTCTTTTCTCCAGGGTGAAAAGTTGGGAGAACTTTAAAGGTTATATATAAATATAAATCCTGGAGACTTAAATTGAGCTAGTAACGGTTTACTTTCATATTTAAAAACCAAATCCCAGCTTTAGCTCAGACTCACAAAGTAGAAATGTCAGATTTGTTACTGTGGTCTTACATAAAATCCACAACTTTCACTTAAAGAGGAAAGAAAACCCCCACCATTTTACCTTATCCCCTGAATAGAATACAAAAGCCTGATCCGGCTCTCTGAGTGGTTTGTATGTAAATTTTAGAATGATGTCCCTTCAGAAAAAGAAGGATCCTCAGGCATCAGCTAGCTCAGCCCTCCTTTGCCTTTGCCCCTCAGGCCAGGTCATACTTTCTCTGATCAGCCTTTTCTATGAGTAAGGCTCACCAGCCTCTGCTTGTATGCCTCCAGTGACGGGGAACTGCCCACCTCTGAGCCGGAAGCCACCATTGGACTACACGGACAATTTGAGATTTCTTTCTTTTACTGCCTAAACTCTGCATCCCTGCATTTCCAACCACGTACACAAACAAACCCAACACTGAAAATAACTCAAATGAATCATTTACTCCAAAATTACATCCTCACTGTTGGTGATTTATTCTTAAAAGAATAATTCACAAAACTGGGAACTCCCTGTAGAAGG